AAGTCCCAACAGCTAGCTCGAATGGCTTCAGATACAATGGCTACACACTCCTCCACATCAGTTCATGTAATATATTGCCTGAACCGATGCAAATGTATTTTATTAAAAAAGTAAAAGCTCCATTGGCAGAGGTGGGGAAAACCTACAGACTGGGGGTAGTGGAACTCCAGGATGACTTGCATGGACTTCTATGTCATGAAGTCAATGGAAAATAAACATAATCAGACTGTCCCAGTCCCAAAACATTTCCCACATTAATTGTCAATGTAGTTGCACCCTGAGTTAGTATCCAGCTGCAGAACCAGGTGATGGGAGTTTGATTCTCCACTGTGTTTCCTAGGAGCAAAGCCACCCTGTGTAACCTTGGGCAAACTAGGACATCCCCAGAAGAAGAGAATGATAAACCACTTCTGAGCACTCTCTACCTGGAAAACCCTGGGAAAGGTTATCGCAAGCCAGAACTGACTTGATAGTATACAATTATTACTCTAGCCGCCTAGAGTGGTCTTAAGTGACTAGATAGGCGGGATATAAATAAAATAAAATAAATAAATAAATAATAATAATCATCATCATCATCACAAGCCACATTTTTTTAACATTAACAGTAGTAAATTACTTTCTTGGCTTCATAATGAATCATTTTGTTGAGCTATAGTTAAAAGTAACTTTCCAAGCCTTGAAACAAATGTAAGCTTTCAGAATACACATTCATCGAAGTAACTTGTAACTCCATCCTTAAGCATAGGACTAGTCTTCAGACTGCAATTCAATTAACTAAAGAAGAAAGAAATTATATTTGGGGCTTTCTGCATACCAAGTACGTACTCTGTCACTAAGCTGTATCTCTTCCCATATATATTTTGGATACTTAACTGAACTTTTCAGCTTGTGGGGAAACAATGACGGCAAACAAAAGCCACCAAGGCTTTGAAGGCACAAGTGAAGCCTATTTTCCTTTAGAACTATATCTCTTGTTTTGAGTTTATCTACTTAGCTGGTGTTGGTCTGACATGCTTCTCCAGGGATTGGTTGAAAAAATGTGACTTCTTATCTCTCAGGTGCACATGTGATTGTTACCCTTTAGGACCTGAGGTTCTATTGATAACTATGATTAAGAATCTGGTCAATTTCCTTAGAAAGCTAGCTTAGGACAATCTCCAGCCCAGCAACATGAAACATGTTTATTTTCTGATATGGCTATCTTGTCTATCTTCTTTTCTCTCTCTCTTTATAAATAAATAACTTTTGATAAGTTCTCCTTTGAGGGATTAAAAAGATTCTGATCCATGTGTGCAGAGATCCTCATGTATGTAGAGCCACTGTCCACTCTCTAATGCCATTGCAGAGGTCCAGTGGTCACTTGCAAGCATATCGGGAGTATGACAATTCCTTTAGGATCACAAAGGGCATGAAGTTACTAAGCCTGAACTAAGTATTTTGAAGAGGAGAAAAGAAGGGACAAAATGAACAAGCATATTTCAGCTTGTGTGACTCAGGTTAAGAAACTAGCAAAACTGAAGATCTTGTATTTTATATTTATTTGTGAGATTGCTTCTCTTTCCTTGGGAATGTAGCAATATGATTTCAGCAGGATAAACTTGGAGAGGGATTAGGGGAAACTCCCTTGTCATCACTGGACACAGTGGACAAGAGATGGTGGGTTTCATCCAGAATTGGTGATAATGGTAGCGGCTTTTAGCTCTCTTATTTACAGGTGTTTAAATCATTGCTTTCATCACTATAATCACAACCTTTGCGCACATGGTCTGTACTGAGTGTTTAAATGTGGTGCACCATGGCAGCAGCTGGCACTGCACTCTACCAACTAGGGGGAAAATCGCCTTTTTTCTATAGTTGGGATGGGAGCTGTTATTACCTAAGGCTATGACTGGGCTACAAACCTTATAACTCTACCCTGGACTTTCATATAGGCAGTCGCTCTGCTGCCAAAGATGCCTTCATTCTTGGAAATAATCACAACCTTGCAATTCTGCCCAGTAGGTTTTCAAAACATCTGCATCAGCCCCACTCCTAAGGAGGAGCACAGGACAGGCAACAGAAGACTTTAGGAAAAAGTTTAACCTGCCAAGTGAGAACCCTATTTGTGTGTGGTTTTTTAAATTAAATATATATTCATTCATTTTGGAATCCCTTCTCTATACCTATTCTAAGTATAGTTTAAATATAACAATTTTGCTTGGGAGATACTGCAGGCATTTGATTTTATTGATCTGTGAAAGCAGTAGTATTATTATACAAATTCCCAAGAACATCACTGTAATAACAAAATACTTTGGTTTCCTCAAAGTACACACTAATATCGTATGAGACTCTGAGGTTAAACACATACTAAATGTCTCCCTGGCACCACAGTCAGTTTTCAGTCTCTTTCTTGTTTCCTGTAATAGAGATTGAAATGTCTTCCCATTGCCAATTTAGGAAAACATTTACATAATTCTGTTCCTACAACAAGGCTCTATGACCACAGCAGATGGAAAACTAAGGGATAGAGAAAGGTGTTGTCCTCTTTCTACAGTTTTTTTTAAAAAGAATCAGCAGTATCTAGTTGATCTAGCTACCAAGACCTCAAGCTGTTCATTCTCTTGTTACTTGCTAATAAACACTAGCTCTGCTAAGAGTAGTCCAAGGGGGGGGGGGCAGAAGACTCAGAACAATGCCTACATCCCCGTCACCTATTGCTCAAAACATCAGCATATTTCTGAGAATTCACTGCATAAATATTCAACACATAGTCTGATGGAAGTGAATGGGAAAAAATATACTGTAGACAGCAGGAGAAATAACTATATATTCTGAAACATAGGCACTGTCTCGTTTTTTGTGAGCTTTTGGGGAACTCATCTGATGACAGGCCAATCTCCTGCAGAAACTAAGGGGGACTAGTGTGTAAACTGGATGAAAGACTCTCTACCAAGCACCATATACAGGCTGCATGTGTCTCCCTGGAAGTCATGTGAACAGTAATATGTGGCTGAGATTCTGGCTTCAGACATTCACTGGAATTTTCATTATCAACACATACAGTATTTCCTTCTTGTAGTGTTGCCTGATTACTATTCCGCTTCACAACATATGTGACATTTAAAATATATGGCATTTAAGATAGGAGTTGAGATAAATTGGGAAATTAACCAAGCTAATGAGGGCAAGAACAGAATGAAAATATATTTTCTATAAAATACATATACTGTATACGTCTATATGTATGCATACACCGCCTGATCTCTGGACTAACAAACATACAAATCTAATATGCACCCAGGGTTTAATTGTTTAATCAATCAACTAATGCTCTAGCCACAGAATAAATTACTTCTCTAATTAAAGGGTAGTGTTCAGAGCATACAAAGGTATGAGGAATGTGAAAGGGGAGAAATGGACATGCCAACCCCCTCCTCCTTGGACAAAATTTTATATAGTGTATCTTTTGCTTTGTGGTAACCAAAGATATTACACCTTGGGAATTTCCTTTTAATGATAGGAGCAGGGGTAGTTGAAGGTGTCAGCATCACTCAGCTTATTTTGTTTTTTTTTAATTTTTTTTATTTTTCCGGCTTTTATCCAGCCCATCTAGATTCAATGAATCTACTCTGGGCGGCTTACATTCCAAATACTGTATAAAACAAACAATATCAGACAACATAGAGACAGGCAAAGTCCAAGATGATAAGAAATAGGGAATTAAGAAATGGAATGGGGGGAAGGCCTGCCTGAAGAACCAAGTCTTCAGCTTGTTCTTAAAAACTCCCAGCGAGGGAGCCAGGCGAATCTCCAGGTTAGTCAGACAATAGGTCTAAATAAATCTAGATCTTTGTGATGTGTTCTGAACATGTCTATTTTTGATGCTGCTTTAGCTGTCATGTGAACATCATAGGGAACATCATCTATTTTACCTCCCCAGGCCTTCTCACAGAGGTTAACCAGATGCTCATGGAAAGTGCAGAGGCATAGCAGAAAGGTAATTTCTCTCCTCTGATGTTTCACTAGCAGTTGGTGTTAGAATGGCACACTGAACTCCATAAAGAGCTGATAAAATTATCTTCCATGAATCAACTTGATTTTTGTTGGGTCTCAGGAAAAATTCCTAATTGTTAGAGCAGTGCAACCATGGAACCAATGACCTCAGGAAGTAGTGAGTTCTCCAACACTGGAGGCATTCAAGAGAAACTTAGACAACCATTTCTTAGATATATTTTGATTTGGATTCCTGCACTGAGCAGGGAACTTGATGGTTTTCTTCCAACATTATTCTGTGATTCCATGCCCAGTCTCAGGAACCACAGAAAGGTATTTGTATGGAGTTTTGCCATAAATGAATATGGTTGAATATAATTAATTGATAAATCACATCTAAAAGTCTAACTCTGGACAACTTTAGAGGCTAGCATGTGCCCCCATTAACAGAAAGTAAACCTACATCCTCCTTTGAGAATAGTTCTTTAAGCTACTGTTCAAGGCAAGCCAGGAGCCGCCTTTCAACCCAAAGAAATACTTTTACTCCCAAGAACATGTAGACAAAAGTGAGTTTATAGGGGTAAAGATAGGCCTGCATCTTCCCATCTAAGCTAACTACAGACTGCTATAGAGCTAGAGGGCAATAGTTCAGGGCAACAGAGATTACCATGTCAGTCCCTTAATCTCTTTCAAGGGTCTAGAGATCCTTGATAAAACAAAATGGCACACGAGCAATAAAAGGGCCCTATTCAACGGCACTAGCAATTGATTCACTGAAAGCACTAGATTTTCCCTCCAGACTTGCCAGAGACTTTCTAATCTTGCATCCTCATATGAGGATAAAGGGGACAGGATAAACAAGGTACAGTGGTATTAGGAGGAAGATTGTGTTCTTTCAGTGAAAACAACCCTTTTAGGGTCCACTGTCTGGGCCTAGTTAAAATAACCACCAGTCCAGTAGTCCAGATCAAGGACCTGACTTTGTCTGACAGGAGCAATGCAAGCTGAAAATCAAGCCTTACCCCTCCTTTCCCTTCCACTTCATTCTGTTCTCCAGGTATCTTGTTGTGCTGTGACAAAAGCTCAGTCTGCAAAAAGGCAGAGCTGCTACAATGGGGAGGTGGGAAAGCAGCTATTTGCCTTGAGCTCTCCAAGGTAAAGGACCATTTGCCTTGATTGGCTACTGTCTATGTACCATTGACCCCTACTCTGACACCTGATTCATCAAAGCCCATTTTTAAGTATGAGTCCTTGTAGAGGAGCATTGGCAGCTGCTCTTGGTTCCATAAACTTCTGGGTAGGCCTGACATGCTCTGCCGACTCAGCCATTTGAGAGGCCTCTGTCAGGTGTGTATTGTGTGACTACTGACTAGGTCTCTATTGGTGTCTCTGTCTTTAAGCCGCTGCTGTTCTGACTGAAGGTGTGACAGCACTGAAAAACTGAACCTGAGTGATTTGCCATTGCTACAATTTCATTCTCAGCCTGCGTTACATTTGAAATTGCTGTCAGTGCTCTCACAGGGGTTGTGGATTGATTCAAGAATTCATTGTATATAATGGATGTGATGCAATTCACATTCCAGCTTCCAGGCCCGCTTCTTTCCTTCCTTCCTCTGGTCCCGCCTCTGCCAATCCTTTTGTGGGGTGAAAATACAGGAAATAATAATAATGGGGACCCAGAAATTAGCCAATAGAGTGATGTAGCGCTAGTCTCATATATGTAATAATTTTTTAAAAAAAAATTTAAAAATTGGAGGAAGATTGGGAAGGAGAAAAGAATGCAGTGGCATGTTCTTCCAGTCCCCAACATAACCAACTGCCTATTTCACCAAAACGCTACTTACAGACACACACACACGGTTTACAAGAATGTATCACAACTAAGCACACAGGGAAAAGCCTGCTAAAATAATTCTGATTTGAAGTAGAAGCCCCACCCCAGCACTGGGCGTGGGGGAAGCTCCTTTGCATGCAAATCATCCTTTGGGTGATTTGAATCAGCCTTCATATCATGTGATCAATAAGAAAATATTTTGAATTCAAAATATTGAATTCAAATTCACTGCTTTATAAATGGTGCAAATCCTGTAAATCCATGCAGTTGCAACTTGAGTACAGTATTTTCCTCCATCACAGCTATTCCTCCAGCCCCTGCCTCCATAACTCTTACAGTATGTTCTGTTTCTCTACAGTCTTCTGAAACTTCTACCGTAAGCAAATACCTCCCTTGAGGAGATTGTGGAAAGGACTAAACCTACAAGTTTTCATTTGGATTGAATATTTTACATTGCATATAATTGGCATACTGTAATATTAACACCTGAAGTGTAGCATTGTTTTATATTCAGTTTTGAAATAGTCAATTGCTTATTCACTGCAGCATTTCCTATTGGCTATATTTGATAATTGTCACCCCTTTAACCAGGTGACAAAACCTAACAAGAATGTCAAATTGTGAACCAATTTCTTTTCTTGAAAACTGATTTTCAGCCAAATGCCAACTTTAACATTCAAATGCTGGAATTATATTTTTGAAATTTCTAATATTGGCTAGGCCCAGAAGTCCTTGGTGTAAAGGATAGATCTAGACATGATATATCTTTCAGTCATGCTGTAATCTTATAAATAAAATCATAAGTTAGAGCTCCATTACACATTGAAATACTTCACGGTTTTCATCAGATTTAGCACACTTAAAATCAATTTTAAAATATCTTTTTTTACATTATGTACAGCAAGGTGTGTGTTTATTTATTTATTTTGTCCAAGAAGTGTGTTTTATTGTTCAGAAATCTCATATACATGTAAGATATGAGGCATTTTAAAAACAGCCAGGAAGGGGTTGTTTATTTTAACTCAATTATGAATTTGATTTATTTTAAATTATGAGTAGTTTGGCATTTGTGCTTGCCTGTGTCAGAGCCTCTCTGCTCTTTTCCCACCCCCACTTCTGCTCCGTTTGTCCTCCTTGAGATCAAAGCCAGAGGGAATCAGAAGAAAAGGATTGGCTTGTGCCACAAGGCAAGCATGGAATATAGCTGAGGTTTCCAAAAAAAATTGGAAAAGCAAGCAAAGAGAGAAAAGTTGAGTGGGGGAGCGCACTCACTCCTTCACAAGTCTAGAAGCTGGATCTTCTCAATTTCTCTGGTCAATTTCTTTTTGCCACTCACTGGTATGTCTTTCCTCTCACCAGTTTCAGCTGCTCCCTTTGCTCCCTTTCCTTCTTTGCCTCAGTATCTTCGTGTGTCCATGCTCAAGGGAAACCTTGCAGTCTGACCTGTTTTATGTTTTCAATCTGTAATAACAAACTAGTGCTATCCCAGTTTAAAAGAATTTAAAAATATATTTAAAATAATACAACAACAGCATTGGTGAGTGGCTGTGAGAGGGAGCCAGCATGAGGGCAGGCGGGCAAAGGCAAAACCTCAAATGCAGCAATTCTAAGACTATATAGGCCCCTGAACAAAGTTTAAAAACAGATCAAAAGTTATCCCAAGAAGATGTACATTCCAACCCAAGGAAAAGGAAGGAAAAGAGAGTGAGCACTGGCATAAGGGTTGAAACTTTTATGCATGGGTTTTTAACCCATGTGAAGCTGACTACTTTTGCTGATCTGTTCATAAATCACAACATGTGATTTAGGCATTCTTCTGGGTTTACCGCTTGGAGACCATGTGTAGTAAAATGGTTTCCTATCATTACCAGCACAGAATCTCTCTGGGTGAAAGAGATCTTTCCTGAAGATATAGAAGTCTTATTGCATGGGTGTCATGTTTTCAGTGCACTGCATGAGTGTGTGTGCACGTGCATGCACACACACACACATACACACACACACACACACACACACACAGAATATTCCCCAACAAAACACCTGAAGCAGAAATTGGTTTCATAATTTCAAGGTAGTTCATAAGTTGGTTTTTAAATTTATATAGCATGAGCGGTTAATTTAAAATGACTATAATAGTTAATGCAATTATTAGTAACCACATTCGTCTCCCTTTTCTTACATTGTTAACCTCACAAACATTTCAACTGAGGGAGTTTCCTCTGGGAAAAATACTGCTAGAAAGCTATTATTCTTCAGTATACTTAATGGTATTCTGTTCCTCCACTTCCTCCACCTCTCCCACACATTTGTTGTGAGGAAACTCCTCTGTTTTCTCAGTATAACAGCCCGACTCTCCCCCTCTCCCCATGAGCAACCTTCTTGCTAAATAACAGCTCCCACCTGAGGACCACACTACCTGGTCAGGCCCACAAACCCTCCCCATCAGTGGGTGACCACAGCAGCTGCTTTGAGAACAGCAGATGTTTGTGGGTCTTCTGAACATACACATCAATATCCAGTCAAATATGAAGAGAAGTGCTTTGATCTGTCTCCAAGCCTTAATGAGATAATTGGTTCCAAGTGAAGATATCCCTTCCTGGTGGTGTTTACTAGAGCCAAAGAGTTGACTTCACAGCCACTCCAACAGCAGGTCTCCCTCCCAACTTCCATTCTTGCTAAAACCTCTTCCCTTAAAATAGCTCACCCACCAAGCACTGGATCTGAACACATAAGTAATTTAGCAGCACTACAAGGGGCGTGTTTAGAGCATAGCAACTCACACGGGGTCCCACCTCTGAGCTAAATTCACATCAATGTCTAAATGGAAAAAGAATGTTTGTGGATTGTAGCTTGGCATTCTTGGATCACTAATGTGTGGTTCTTTTTGGTGCCCTTGCTGCCTCATTCATTTGATCAACATTTACTAGAGCTTAAATTATTTGACTTTAGATGCTTGTATCCTGATACGTGGCTGCTGTATCTTTTCTGTTTCTTATTGTTGGAAGAATCCTGCTTCTACCGGTACTTCCTGCTTTCTGCTCATGAGGATAGACAGGATACTTGTGCAGTTGATCATTCTTCTGTGACCCTTATGCTGTCAGTGTGGTTACTGGTTATTTGGTATTTTATTCCAAATTAGCTTTGGCCATATACAGAACCTAGCCACATCCAGAATCTTCTGCTTGCATGATCTATTAGTCCCAATAAGCTTTCTCCTTCAGATTCAGCCTTTCTTGGCCAAAAATAAACTGACAGAAATGAGGCTGATTTCCAAAAAAAATTATCTCTTTTGGACAAGCATAAAGTAACATGATATTTGTAGTGAGGAGTTTAGAAATGCAGGTGTATTATCATGACAGTTCCATAGCCGCCTTGCCCCAGAAGCTGGATCACTCAGTGGTTTAGGTCTCTGGCTGTGGAACCAGAGCTTGGGAATTCAATTCCCCACTGTGCCTCCTTGACAGGGGCTGAACCTCATAGCCATAATGATGTTGAGGAGGAGGAGGAGGAGGAGAGTCCAAACATGCAGGCAGTTTGGATTGATGTCTATTAATAAATAAGCAAACATAATGTAAACATGACATAATGGCTCTTAATAGCCTATCAAAGACCAAGTGAGGCTCACGTAGTTTGCATTATAACAGAGATACGGTAATTTGCAACAGTGTATTGTTCCTGGGACAATTTGTCTTTCAGATATTGCAAGAGCTGTAGCTAAACTCAGAAGGAATAGGGAAGTGTGGATTGGTGGAGGATGCTATAGTCCCTGCTAATCATGTTATGGTTTTATTCCTGCAAGTCGTGGCTCAACTACACTACAGTGGCTGGAATTCTGTTCCATAGTGTAAGCAAAGCTGTAAATTTTGGGTTTGTTCTTCCCCAGTAAATAAATAGCCCCCGTCACAATTCTTGGGTGTGTATGCACATGCATAAAGCCAGTATGCACAAGCACCTGTGAGAATAGTGGCAGGAATGGAACAAAATGTATACAAATTTTCTTACATTATATGACAGGATTTCATCCTGTATGTTTGGTTAGTTGTATTCAGAAAGATCAGCATTCTCTGTGGAGGTAGTGGACACCAAGTGGCTCTTGCCAAAGCGTAGATGCTAGCAACAACCAGGGCTGACCCTGATCCGTGGCATTGAGGGTAAAGGTAAAGGTAAAGGTTCCCCTTGGCAATTTTTGTCCAGTCGTGTTCGACTCTAGGGGGCGGTGCTCATCCCCATTTCCAAGCCATAGAGCCAGCGTTTGTCCAAATACAATCTTCCGTGGTCACA